TGTGAACTTTTGAGTACGAAAATTTAGATTACACTTAGAACAGGTTACAGTCGACAAGTCAAATCCTGCTGCATTTCGAATTTCAAGCGTCAATGCATACGCTGGCACTAAACTACGTAATGATATGTAAACCAGTTAGCAGAAGTATAGGGTCGCGTTCAAACCTAAAGCGGATTGAAAGTCTACATTGTTATATCTTTGGCATTGATATTTGCATATGTTCATCTTATAGAAATTCAACTTATGCTACAGATGTACTGAAGATGAGGTTGTCAACTGCTATGGATTCTCCATATACAAGGTGAGGAGCTTAACAAGTTTCACTAATCATATTATCTCTTCATTGAGATGAACAACATTCGCAGGGTTTTGCGTGTGGTGATAGAAGGTTGGGAGTGCAACATAGCCCTAACTCGTGGCTAAGAAAAGTTGATGAGATTGTGAAAGACTGCAAAAATGAAGAAAATATTAAAGATTCTGATATTAAGAAAGGATAATTTAAAGTAAAGTTTTTATTTGTTGGGAAAGATGTTAAGGTATATATTAGCATTATTGCGAAGAAATAAAACGTAAAACGAGATTATTTTCACAAACTAATCATATACCATGAGAGTAATGTTTTGTTAGCACACTAGATACAAAACATATCATTTTTAGCCCCTTCGATGCATTATATGAATGCCTCTGTAGTTTTATACTTCCAATGAAGCCCATGCATATCTATTAGTCCATTAACTACAACTAAAGGGATTACAAGAGCGAGTTAATGGAGAGAGAAGCTTGAAATTTGTAATGGTAGGCAAAGAATGAACTTTTCAGAAATGTAAAGTAGATAATAGTTCATAGGTCATAACTGAGACCAGTTGCTTCATTTAAAATACAAAGGACATAGATTGAGGTGTATGTTGGGGCATAATTAATTTCATTGAAATAACAATCATATTGCCTATCATCAGTAAATATTTTTCTGTTTAATATGTTTAGTATGAACCTTCCATTGTTTGCACGCTGTAAAGGTTCTTACTATGGAAGAAGAACAAATAAGCACCTTTGGTTCTTGCAGATCACCGAAAGATTTAATAAATATGGTGAAATTGTGAGCACAATAAAACGATAAATTATTAAGAAATGTATGCATAAAAAGAAAAAGTTTCGAGCAGTTCTATGCTCTGAGCAGTGGATATTACAGGAATAAAAGAACAAAAACGAAACTTTTCGGCAAAATCGTACCTCAATAGTTAGGAATAATGAAAATAGCACGAAACAGGAGCTTATTTGAGCCATGCATTCAGTGATTTTGTTCGAGTCATGCGAGTTCCACGAGGCGGTGCTAAACGTTATGCTATAACACGAAATGAGCGTGGAAGTGCATTCGCAAAGCATAGTTGAAACAGATGAAAGAAGACAAGAATGAAGATCAGTAAAGAGCAAAGATACGATGTCTTTATTGAAAACCTGAGAATGGAGCCGAT